TTTCTTTACTTTGGTGGGTGTGTGTATAAATTTGCTGAAGGAATTGTTGGGGGTGGTTTGGTAGAGAGAGAGGATATTAAACCCAGAGAGATAGTGTTGTCGGCGCAGGGTCACTTTCTGTCGGCATTGTCTGTATCCAACGATGATTCTCATTGATTATTAATTTCTATTGAATTCTCAATTCATATATATTTTTTTTTAATTCAAAAGTACAAACGGAGATAGGTAGATGCTTCATGGGCGTGATTCGTTTTCATTAAACTTGCAGCCCAAAGCTGTCTCTGTGTTGTGTTGTGTTGTGTTGTTTTGTTTTGGTGTTGTTTCATTGCTTTTGATGATTTGGACCTTCCTCCTCGTTTTTAAAGCCAACTGCACCAATTCCAACAACTTCAACTATTGCTCCTCAATTCCTCATCATTTCTTTCTCTTCTCTCTGCCCACACCCTTTCCCTGATTTCACTCATTCACTCTATCTAACTCTGGGCATCTCTTGATTTGTTCCCCCAAGATCATAAGGTTTTCCCGTTTCTTTCAATGTTGTAATGCGGGTGATTTTCTATTTGGGTGATTCTGCTTCTAGGAGATCAATTCAATTTCTCATTGCCAAATGAAGCTGAGGTTTCTGGAGATCTGGCTGCATTATTTCTCTGGGAATACAGGTCTCAAGCTTCGGACTTTATTCTGTTTTCCTTATTTCCATCAATGTCTTACCATTGTTTGTCTGTGATTTGACTTTAAAGTAATATCGGTTTTTAACCACCAATTGAATTGTTGGCGTGTTAGACTGTACTTTATATGTCCAATTGAATGATTTTGATGTGCATGATTCGGATAACTACAATGTTGAGCGTTTCTATTTAATGGGTATTCAGTATTACTGAATGTGAAATGTCCTTATGCCAGTTGCTTCTTTGCGTTTGGTCTTCTTCCATCTACAAAGTTTCCTAACAAATGCAAAACATCTCTGTTCTATAAGATTGTCTTCCGCCTGCTAGCTACCAACTTGCTTGCGTTATCTTCGCATCTATACGAATTGGATCATATGTATGCCGTTTCTTTTTTATGCACTCTGCTTTTGTTTCTTGAAATGAATGCTTATGTTGATTCTAGATAAAGATTTATCTGCTTGTGCCATCCTATTTATTTCAGGTTCAATGTATAGTCAATCAAATCCCTGTTATACTTTACTGCATAGCTGAAGTAGTTCCCATACCAGATGTCAAGGACTCTTGCAGCAATATTAGGAGGTGCTGCAGGAGCCATGGCATTGGTGGGGATAGTTGGTTTGCTTATATGGTTCTGCCTATTTCATAAACGTGGTGTTTCGAGAAGATCAGAGACAGGGTCCTCGGATCCATCTGTTCAAGGTAACATTTATGTCATGTATGTTTTTCGGAGGCCCTTAAAGGCCACAGGCAGAGTGTACAGGTAATTGATTTGTGGTTTTTCCACTGACATTTTCTAGGAAGACATCTTGGGGTTGAGTTATCATTACGGGAAGCTAAACGTTTTGAGATTGAGGAGTTGTCTTCGGCGACCAAAAATTTTAGTGATCGAAACCTGATTGGGGAAGGAAAATTTGGTGAGGTATATAAGGGTTTGCTTCAAGAGGGGATGCTGGTTGCCATCAAAAAGCGCGCTGGAGTGCATAGTCAGGAATTCATTGATGAGGTAACTATCACTTCCCTGCCCTCTACCTAAAAGTGATTGCATGAGATGCTGCCTGGATCATGCTAAAGGTGAATCATAACTAATATTTCTTCTACTGAAAACTATTTCAATTTAAGCAGTTAATTGAGTCTATTTCTTCCGTTTTAAGATTCGTGTTTACTTCTAAGTCAGGATTGCTTTGAAGTGTGGTACAGATTTTTCAGTGGCTTCCAAAAAATTCTAAAATTTAGATTTGCCTTTACATTGACCTAAAATCTTTTCCAATTTATGCTTCTTTAGTACAAACTTTATCTTATTCTTGCACTGTTTATCCTTTGATCTAATGGCGCTGAACTTTACTCCTAGGCATGCTATCTTTCATCAATTCAGCATCGGAATCTTGTCACTCTTTTGGGCTACTGCCAGGAAAATAATCAACAGTTTCTAATATACGAATATATACCCAATGGAAGCGTTTCCATTCACTTGTACGGTAACTCTCTATCCAGTCACAATTTTTGCATTTGTGAACAAGACTTTTCCTCCTATATATTGTACATATGTGTTCAGGATTTGGTGGTGAAAATGAAATGGTATTTATTTTTCCTGATATGTTTCTGCAGGAGCTGGTCAAGTGTCACCTCAGAAGCTAGAATTCAAGCATAGACTTTCAATAGCTCTAGGTGCAGCTAAAGGTGATCCTCTGCAAAATCAGTGAGCATTTGTGGCTTTCCTGGTATCAGTTTTTCTTTTCTTTAGACAAACTATCCAAATAGCAATAACGGTCCTACAAAATTCTTTTGTAAGCTTCTGTAACACTTTGAAATTTAGATGTTCATCTTCTATGGTTGTAACATTTTGAAATTTTACTGCCTCATTTATGTTAGCTCAGTTATTTGTCCCTTCGCAGGTTTGGCTCATCTTCACTCCCTAAGTCCTCGATTGGTACATAAAGATTTCAAAACAGCCAATGTTCTTGTAGATGAGAATTTTATCGCTAAGGTTGCAGATGCAGGACTACGTAATTTCCTGGGAAGAATTGATATTGCTGGTCCTTCTTCTCAAGTGACAGCAGATGAGATATTCCTTGCTCCTGAGTACTATGCTCTTGACTCGCTCTTCACTCTGTGACTGATCTGGTGATGCATCATTCGTTATTCTTACCTGTATGCATTCACTAATGCAGGGTGAGGGAGTTTAGACGTTTTTCTGAAAAAAGTGATGTATATAGTTTTGGAGTATTCCTTCTGGAGTTAGTAAGCGGACGGGAAGCATCAGAATTACCATCAGACTCCACAGAGAACCTCGTTGAGTGGGTATGATTTTGGCTTCATATCTGCTTGTTATTTCTATGTTTTTGAATTATTTGTTTGGTACCACGTGATTTAGTGGGAGGGGAATGACCAGGGTGATTACAGCAATCGGTATCTTGCTATTGAAAGAATACTTGCAAGCTTGCATTTCTTTGTGAGGAAGCATTTGCATGCTTGTGCATCTATGGAATTTTCTGTGTCTGCATATGTTATTGGCTTCATAAACACCATGGATGCAGACATGCCAAGTTTCTGGTCCTGTGCAATTCATTTGCGTGTTTCTAAATCATGCATCAACGGCCACATGATTAGCAGGTAGGTGCTTACCATATGGATCATGGCTATCAGTATCTTGCTACTGAAAGATTGACTTACAAGCTTGGGGATGTTCTTGTCTCTGCGTATGTTATTGGTTTCATAAACACCATGGATGCAGATATGCCAAGTTCCTGGTCCTGGGCTGTGCATTTTATTTGTGTGTTTCTAAATCGTGTGTGTCACAACCACATGATTTAGTGGTAGGTGCTTACTATATTGATCATGGATATCAGTATTGCTATGAAAGATTGACTTACAAGCTTGCAATTTCTTCCCGAGAGAGCATTCACCTGTTTGCAGACATCTACGGCATTAGTTTGTGCCTGCACAGGCATGGTGATTGTAGTTTATCTTATTACTTTTAGACCAATGTGGGCTTAGAAAATCACTACTTTTGCTTGTCTGATATCTCTTTTGTTTCGGAAGGTGCAAAATAGTCGGGACTACAGCAACATTTCCAGCATGATCGATCAGAGGTTGGGGAGTAGCTTCACAGGTGAAGGCATGGAAGAATTCATAAAGTTAATGGTTCGATGTGTGGAACCTTCGAGCGAGAGGAGACCTGCAATGAGCTATGTGGTAATGGAACTGGATAGGATACTTGATAAAGAGATGAGCTTGACAACAGTGATGGGGGAAGGAACCCCAACTGTGACCCTTGGGAGCCAGCTCTTCAGAGCAACAAAATAAAAAGAAAAAAAGAAAAAGAAAAAAGAAAACTGTGTTTGCCTCCAAATTGTGAGAGTGTGATATTGGTGAAGTAGAAATTTTTGCATTTTCTTTTTCCTTTGGGAAAACTTAGAGAGGAGAATCAGCTGTTTGCTAAGTGTATAAAGAACAGCTGTTATTAATTTTTTCATTTTTTTTTCTTTTTTACCATCATAAAATGCATGAGAAATCTTGTTGTAAACCATTATTTGTTGTTAATAGCAAAGTGCTGGTGTGATTTATGCCTTCTTTCTTCCCTTTGGGACAATAAACATTTATCTCCTCTATTTTCTCCATGTGTTAATTACTTTTTCCCTTCTTTTGTTTTTATTTTGTCTTTTTTTGGGGATATTCCAAAATGAGGTCTTTTTTAATATTATAAATTAATTTTTTATTTTTTATTTTTTATTTTTATTTTTAAATTGAGGAAGAGAGATTCATCTTTACTCTTTTAAGTGAGGAAATAATGTATCAAGAGGTAAATACATACTTCAAAATAAAAATTTTTTAGGGTAATTAATTTCATGAAAATAATAATAATATATTTATGTGGCCTCTTTTTCCCATCTTCTAGTTGGTATATAAAGGTATTACGACTAGTACAGTAAAGTAGTACCAAACCAGAAGATGCAGTGCCTCTCCTTCAAATCATCGCCTCCTCCGACCTCACCTCAAACCCAAACGATCGATCTCAATTCCTGTCCCCCAGCTTCCCAAGGTAAAGTTTTGTCCTCTCCTCACCCTGATGTTTTTTGCTTGCAATGGAAGCGTTTGCGTAAAGGCCTCAAACAAACTTGCTTTCTTCTTGTCCCAGGGGATTCCTCCGAGGGAACGCCCAGGTCCAGCACTCAGCCCTCGCCCACCTTCAATCTCAGTCGGGAGTACACTCTCGCGGTGCAAACCGATTCCTACAAGGAGATACGGTCCAGGATTGAGGAGCAGGTGCAAGTTGAGGATGTGCTCGAAAATGGGGATACCCATCAGCTGATTTTGTCGCAGATGCTGCAGCCCAACAGAGATTGCGTCGCACAAGCTCTTCGCCACACCAACCCCAAAGCTACCCTCACTCGCTTGGTTTCTACCTACTTTGAGCACAGCGAAAACATCACCGATCTCTGCCTCTTGCTCTACCAATGCGTATATCGTGCTCGTACCCTCTATTCTCCTATTACTGAGCTGCTTCAAGTGTTCCCATATGAACTCAATTCCATTAGTCAGGCGCAGTGTAACTGGGCATTCGATGTTTTCCTCCAATTCGATAGCCTTGACAATCCTTTTCCTTGTCCTGACTCCCATAACTTCAACGAGATGCGCCGTAGTTTCTCCCAGCTCAAGGAGCAGCTTGATCACAGAATCAACAAATCCCATTCTAGAGTTCGCTTCCTGCACCGCGCAACTACTGGCTCTGCCATTTGCTTAATTGGCACTGTCGTTGGAGTTGTTGTTTCAGCCGTGGTTATCTCCACTAATGCCCTTGCTGCCATTGTAGGCCTTGTGGCTACGCCACTTTGTCCTGTTTATGTTCCAACTGATCTCAAGAGGAAACAGCTTGCCCATGTGGCTCAACTTGATGTTGCTAAAAAGGGAACTTGTGTCCATAACTATGATCTTGACACCATTGATCGCCTTGTTGCCTTGTTGTATGCTGGAGTTGAGGCCGACAGGCAGCTTATACGATTTGGATTAGAGAGAGATAGAGACATATACCCCATCCATGAAGTCGTGAAACATCTACGCGGCAACCATGACAATTTTGTTGACCAGCTCAAAGAACTTGAGGAACATTTATGCCTATGCTTTAATGCTGTCAATAAATTCAGAGCTAAGCTACTCGATCAGATCCATCATCATCAATATTCTAATTCATGATCGATCGGTAGCATTTCTCAATTCCTATTTACTCTCCTTGGTCAATGTGTATAGCCATACACTCGTATAGCATGCTTTGACTATTGCCACTGGCCCTGCTTTTTAATTTTGGGGCTGTCATGACTATACATGCACCTTTCAAATTGCTAATTCTTGAATTCTTGTGCTTTAAACGGACCCTGCTTTGTTGGATTGATCATTGTGGGAAGAAGGATGTCTTCGTACTTCAAACTTGTACTTCTTGCCCTTAATTTATATGTTCTCCGAAACTGATTTAGCTTTTCTAACAATGAGATGATTTTTGGCTGTTGATCTTTTGCAACTTTCTGATTTTGTCTAGGGTTGTGTTCGTCATTATATGGATATACATTGATAAAAGTGTTCGGCAGAGCCTTTCCTTCCTTTTGTTTAAAATTCTTTGTGCAATTGTGATTTGTGATAGCTATCTCTCGCTTGATCATATGTGTAAGGTTCTCTGTTTCTCCTTAACCAGCATAATGGGATAATATACAGAAACCGCTATCTATACTAGTGTTCACTATCCATACTGTAATTATTCAATGGAGCCTTTGTATTTTATTGAACCTTTTTTTATCTCCTGATAGAAAGATTGAATTGCATTAGCATTGCCACATTGCAATGATGTAACAGTTTACCAGCATCAAATCACAGATTGAAGGAACAGTTTCAGCAAGGAAGGCTAATTGCTGTGAGTTATGTGGCAATGGAAATTTGTTGAATAGTTGAGAGGTCGAGACTGATAACAACGGAATGCCAGATTTTGGCCCTCATCAAGCATTCACATTGAATGATGATAAAAGAATTTTTGTTTCCTTGAAGATTCAGGAAAGATCTTGTTGCGAACTGTCTGCATCATTATCCTTTTGTATTTGAAGCATAAAAGAAGAGATTTTTTATATGTACATACATAAGATCACAGATGTAACTGCCCAATAAGTGTATAAAGGCTGTGCTATGTAATGTTTCTGATTTTCCTGTCATAATGTAGGAGATACTATCATTGTACACCTTTGTTTGTTGCTAATGTTATAGGGAGTCTCTCTAGTTTCTTGTGGTTTAGACAGGAAAAAAACCTGTTGACTTGAAACAAGAAGAGAATTCAAGCCACTCATGACAAGGATAAAGGTGGAACCTTTATGCTACTAACAAATGAACACCATCATCCTACTAACCAATGAAGAAAATGTGTCCTAAATTTTGATAAACTCTTTGATGTGTTAGGGTGGCAGTGGATACTCTTTAATTGGATGTATTGATCTGATTAAATAAAATTATAGTATCTTATAATGGGGTTCAAACAAGATTCCAGTAGTAAAATTACTACTCGTCACGAATTTGGATGGTGATATTAAAATACTCACTATCTAAATTTGGTTATGAATAATAATTTCTAATATTAAATTTTAATTCTATATATTATTTTGTTTATAAATATTTATAATTGCTGTAATACTTACTCATATTCATGTTCTAATTATGATTTTCAAATTAATTTTTCTTCATAATATATGTAAAAAAAATTTAAAATTTTATTTATGTAAATATTTAATAGATAGTGTTTAGGATATTTAAATGCATTTTAGTTAAAAAATTTAATTAGGTATTTATAAGATTTAGGTCCCCTATCAAATAATATTGTTCGGATTAATGCATGCCTTACCCATTTATATCCCTATCCGTACACTAAAATTTCAAAGTTGCATTCTTGGCCATGGTTGCAAATGGGTTGGACTGCTAAAGCTTTTTCATTTTGGGCGTAGGGTGGGCTCATGGCCTAACAGAACAGACTATTTCATTCCTATTTTTGTTCCAAATTGCCTTTGCTTAAACCCAAAATAAACCCTCGGAAACTGAAACAGCTGCCCTGTCGAGGATCTGCTCTGGCCGGAGATAGATTTTGGGTGCTCTGTCTGCGACTGTGGGTGTGTGGGTTGTGAAAGTCTCAACCTTTGGAACGGAAGAGAGAAGAGAAATATGAGATTCAAGAAGCAGAAGCGTCACAGGAAGACAGTGAGATTTTTCTCAGTGTGCTTCGGGTTCAGGCAGCCCTTCAAGGTTCTCTGCGATGGAACTTTTGTTCATCACCTTCTTCACAATGACTTAATACCCGCCGACAAGGCTCTCTCCAATTGTCTTTCTGCCCCTGTCAAGCTTTTCACCACCAGGTTCCCTTCTTCTCTCTCTTTTTTTAATCTTTTCCTTTTGCGGTTGGATCTCTAAAGATGATTTGCTTTCAATTAGTTGAAAATCAAACAACTTTTCTGTGTGGGGTTTTCAGCTGTGTTCTGGGGGAGCTGAAAACGCTTGGTGCTTCACAGTCTGCGTCCTTCCAAGCAGCTCGTAAACTCGCAATTGCAAGGTAACGCCTTTCTTTCTTACTTTCTCTCTTTCTCTCTTTCGTCGTAAATTTTGAATCTTTTGACAATATTTGTGGAAAGTTGATCACATGCTATCCTTTTCCCAGTTTGCACTTCTTGCTATGGATTAATTTTGTTTGAACCGTAATTGAACCTCATATTCAGATGTGATCATGAGAAGAGGGTTAGTGCCGATGCTTGCATTGCGGAGGTCATTGGAGAACATAATTCTGAGCACTTTTTTGTTGCTACCCAGGATGCTGATCTTCGAAAGAAACTTCAGAAGGCAACTTTCTTTCCTTTTCTTAACCTTTTATGTTTCTATTTGCTTTATTGTTTTGGGTTTTATGTACTATTAGTTCCTTCAAGGACATAATATTATTTGCTTCCAGCTTTAAAAATTTATAGCATTTGGAGATTCTACATTCTCTATTGTCTGTCCTCTTTTATTGAATTTGTATTGAAAGTTGCCTTTGAACATGTATTCTAATTCATTTCACTGTCTTAATTCAGGTGCCTAAAGTTCCTTTAATATTTGGCCTGAGAAATGCCCTTTTCCTTGAGCCACCATCTAAATTTCAGCGTGAGATTGCACAATCTTCTGAAGAAAAACGCCTTCATATGACTGACAAGGAATATAAGGCATTAGAGAAGAGGACTACTAGCATTTTGTCAAATGTGGATACAGAGGATTCATCTGACGAGGAAGGTTTAGGTCATCACAGTCCGGGGTTGCTGCCCCATAATACAAGGAATTATGCAGGAAAGGAAAGAGATATAAAGGATAGAGTTCGATTTAAAAGAAAGAAAGCTAAGGTAAGGTCCTATCTCATATCCATCTTCCTACTTGTACCAATTTGGTCATGTTTGCTCATCTCTAAGCTATATAGTTACTATATGCAGGAGTTTCATGGTTTATGCATTTTTTGTTATGAGTTAATATTCCCAGGTTTCTTAGACTGTGCAATACTTTCTTTACATCTTCTCATTTAAACAGAACATCTAGAATCATATAATTCGATATCCGAATAATACCGTTGGAAATTGGGGAAAAGTACAAGCTACTACTGGTTGAAGAAAATAAAAGCAGGATGAGAACTTTGGACAGTGCATTTTAAGTTGATATAAGATTAGCGGGGTTTATACACTACGATATAATTTGGTGCTGTGCTGTGCTGTCATTCCTATGTAACTGCTTTCTTTAAGGTACTCATGGGATCAACTTTTTTTCTTCTTGAATTTTATAGGGTCCAAATCCACTTTCAGTTAAGAAGAAAAAGAGTCACGAAAACCCAAATCTTGCTTCTGGGAAGGTGAGCTTTGAATGTAGAACGATTTCTGGTTGCTTGTACTTCTCTCTTTCAAATGTGTTTTACGTTGTTTCTGTAATTGAGGTAAATAATCTGATGTCTGATGACCCTCCTCCCAGTAGTACGGATCTCAGACAGAATGACAAACTCCATCATGGACATTGCAGTAACTTGATTGAAATATTGCAGGCTTGCAGCATGCATGGCATCATTGATCTATTTGACCTTTGAGATGAAAGTTATAATTTACTTTCATACATTGTTTGATATTTGAAACTCTTTGCAGGAAGTTAAGGGTGATGATGGCAATGCACAAAGCAAGAGGAAAAGGAAGAGGTCACGCAGAGGTAAAAGACTTGATGGGACAGATGGTGTGTAGTGACATATCGGTAGAGCTTTGAAATTTTGACTTCTACTTTTGGTGTATGACTTGGCGAGTGCTTTAGCACATGACTCCTTGTTGTAATTATGATGTTATGCTAATTGTGATGCAATATATTCAACTAAATGCAACTGTGGTTTTCATGATGTTTTTCACTCTCCGAAAGACTTACAGCAGCTTAGACACTAGGGGGACTTCAGGGGGGATGTCTAATGCCATAGCATTCCATGTTTATTCATGTTGTGTCCCAAGAATATGGCAGCATGGCAATTCATCATTCTTTTCTGACTTTAGCCCTGCTTCGCATGGCCTGTTCCTCAAGCATCATGCTTTTCATTTGTGAAGATTGGCATTGCAAGGTGATCACATGCAAGTTTTACTAACTCAAACTAAAAATGGCGATGATTATTCTGAACATGGATTTGGCAAAAGGTTAGTTCAAATGATGTCCTGTCTTTTTAAGATTTCTTTCAATTGACTATTTAAGATTGGTTTAATCAAAATCAGCTGAAAGGGATGCCTCTATATGATGACCATGGTTGTAATAGGAGTATGGTATCTTAACTATCTAGTTAAACTTGGAACTGAAATGGTATGCAGGGATTTTGGGAACTAAAATGGAGAAATAAGAAACACAGGAAAACCTGTGAGACAAACTGGAATCAGAGGGAATGAGATCAATTATTTGATTGATCACATGTGATGTTTTGTTTTTATCTAATAATTTGTTCCAGACAACACTGACATCTGCAAGTAAATCAAAAGCTTGTGTTGATTTGGATGGACTATGTATGCTATCTCATCTAATTAAACCTCTCCACTCTAAATCTCAATCTTTTTCTCATTATTTGATATTTTTTATTTTAAAAATATAAACGTATCAATGCTTTTTAACATGGAAAAAGTTTGCAATACAAAATCAAAAAAAAAAAATTAAGCATTTAAAATTGAAAGAAGAATTTTATTTCGAAATACTCGAAAAGGAAAGATGAAACAAAAAGGATTTTGAATGACTTATAAGATGAGAAATAACAGTTTTTGTTCTAGTTTTGTTAGTAAAATCAGTTTCGGGATATTTTTATATTTCTCGAAAAATTACTTGTATAAAATTTTTCACCTATATAAAAAAAAAACTCTTATTAGATTAGATGTAAATGATATTATGAATAAGCATATATTTGCATAAGTGATTCCCAGGACAAGTCATTTTGTCAGCATCAAACTCGAAAATGGGTCGACATCAATTTCCCAAGCTGACGTTGGAATTTCAAAGCAATAGTACCTCTAAGTGGCACACTAATCTAATGCATGTGAGGCTTATGCTATACTTTATGACACCACCTAGTTGCCCTAACCCTCCTTATTTTTCTTCTCATTAAATATAAACCTAAGGACCAAATTAGGCATCAAACTCTATTCATTGAAAATGTTTCTCTAGGCTTTCGACTTCTGTTCTCTGCTTGATATTCGTTTCATAAAAATATATTACTAATTAATAATATAAAATTAAATATGTAACGAAAAATTATAAAAATAATATCAAACAGGAATGTTCATATATGTTGTATGAGGGAAGAAAATAAGGAAAGAGGAGATAGACCTGACAGACAGCTGACAAACATTCAGCTGGATTCTTGGCTCATGGTCAGTTAGGTCTCCAAGGATATACTGTGGGTGAGTGAGCTTCTCCTCGGGGTCCACCCATTTCTTTTCCTGGAAAACCTATCTTATAATAATTGGAAAGAAGAGGAGGAGGAGGAGGAGGAGGAGGAGAAGGAATCTCCTCTTCTGCAAATGGTCCCATGTATTGCAGGCATGCACATGCAGGGAAGTTTCTTCACTAATCAACTCATCCATCCAGGTCCAAGGGGAGACCTTAAGAGTTCAAGTTCAAATCTCTTCATGTGTTGATTTTTCTTGTTCAGGGATACAGTGATAAATTTAAATTTTCAAATGAGAAATGATTAAAGAATAATTATAAAAACCAATCATATTATATGGCAAATAAATTACTATTTTCTTCTTTCAAAACTCGAAGATCTTCAAGTCATGAGTATTTGGTTTCTTTATGTTTTGATAATTTGTGATTATGATAGATTATTTATTTATTATTTATAATTTTTTACATTACTAAAATAATTTGGTGTATGTAGAGATCTAACTCAAGAATATTTTGGAAAATATATATATTTTGCAGTATTGGTAACTAAAAAATTTCACAACACTTCCAAACTATAAAAACATATAAAATAACATTTGTAGTGTGTTATCTTTACATAAAAACAAAGCATTTTTTTGGGCACTTGAGTTAATTTATAATTATAACTTTTCTGTATTTAATAATTATAAATGTTAGTTTTTTTTTGCTGAATGTAAATCTCTAATCCATCTCTGCTTCCATTAATGTATTATTTGATATATTAAAAATTAATTTGATTGTACTTATAATTTTTACTTATAAATGTAATCTCATTAAAAAAATATAGTTTTAATTAAATAAATTTTGAATTTCATGTCTTCATGATTGAGCAGTGATTATGTATGGTTTTTCTCGAAATGACTCTTTATATTATTAATAAAAAAAATTTCCATTGAATGAGAAGAAGAATTAAATAAAATTTGATTGATGGATGGACTGGTTAAGTTGGAATGATTAAGTTTTTGAGAAGGTTTGAGTGAGCTCAAAAAGTTTGGAAGATGAAGGCATGTGCAACCATGGGTACATGCAAATGACAAGTCTTGTGGCTTCTGCAAGGGGTCACTGTTGGTGGAAAGAGGCAAAGTTGCCTTGTCTTTGATGTAGTGAAAAGGAATGATAGAGCGGAAAATGGACTCAAGGGAGTGATTTGAATGGTCACCCTTGGAGTGAATTGGGGGGTGCTTCTTGATATGATTGTTGCTTGTCTACATGTCTAGAAAGTTAAACACCTTTTGTTTCAAAAGTTGTATGTACTATAGAGTCATGTGATACTCCCAAGCTAATCAAACCAAATTAGAAGAAGGAAAAGTTGAAGCATCTTGGGAAGAAGCCCACAAACATCAGCATCAAGTCATTCATCTATGGCATGAACCCTAATCTTTCAAAAGTGAGCAACTTCTATAATTTTGTTGAGAGATTGGTAGGCTCATTTGCCAACATCAGTCCTTAAAAAATACCATACCATCATCATTTCCATCCTCAATTATGTTAACTGGAGGACTAGGAACAGATGATTTGTCTCTTTGAAGTACCCATTCACATGATCATTTCTTTACTTAATTATGTTATCTTTTGTTAAGCAAAGGACTAGTAATACTACTAATTTCATTTGTCTCTTCTATGTATTTGCTATCTAATCACGATTGTTTAAGAATAAATACTTATCACATTACATGAATCATTAAAAAAAAAATCATGAAGAGATTTTCGAATAAAAATTATGTATTTTAATATGGTGTTGAATTTTTAAGACTCATATTCAGACTAAAACTTATTGACAATAAATGAAGATGCTCTTGATAAATTCTCCTTTGCTATTTGGTTACTAACCAGGATTCCATGATTTAGTTTCTCTAATAAATTTCCTCCCACCTTCAAAGGGTTTGTTATTTTCCAATGTTGTAATACTAAACATAAAAGAGGAGCAGGTAATCATGCGGGTTTTGAATTTGTACAAAACGTGAAACTTACAAAGGAAAAGGAATCAAATTGAAGGATCATAATTGGTTCACAGAAAGCTACGAGGTTTGTAAGGTTTATTTCAGCAGACAGATGAAAACAGAGTATGGCAGAGGCCCTGGAGCCGACAGAAATGATTCGAAAAACAGCAAAGTGACTCTGTCGATTTCATTTCAAAAGAAGAAAAGACATGGATACAACAATGGTGGTAGTAGTAGACTTGCTAGTATACTTTTCGATGTGCAATACAATACCGAATGCAGTGTACAGAATGCAACTAGGGATATCATATGAGTCTGCATGGCATATTGGCATGTGAGTCGGGGGAGATGTGACATTCAAGGAAAAAAAAAATAATGAAAAACGCTAGCAATGTGGAAACCCCGTTGCTCACGCCGGCTCTGTTTGTCTTCTTCCTCTCTCTCTCTCTCTGTCTCCCTACTGAATCTCTCCGGCCATCTCTCTTTTTAATCTTTGTCTTGTTTTAATCCTCTTGTTTTAAATTAAGTCTTTTGTTTATCTTTCTTTCTGTCTTTGAAACGAACAAACAAAGGGAACGGTTTTCAAAGGTGGATAGAAGAACAAAATGTTTTCCATTTTGGCTCCAATGAAGCCTTAAACCTTTCACTTTCACTCTCTGCCTCTGCTTGTCCCTGCCTGACATTACCCATTTTTACAATATACCCCCCACCAGTTTTCCGTCGACTTCTCGCCAGAAACCACCTTCTTTCCTTTCTTTTGTTCTAAGCAGAAAGAACCCAACATACAAAAGAAATGACATTTCTCTGGTTTTTGCTCTTTTCTTTCAGCTTCACACTCTCAAAGTCTGCCCCTGACTCTGACTCTGCTATTCTTCTCAGCTTGAAGAAGTCTATCTTTCATGACCCTTCAAACCTTCTATCCAGCTGGAACCCATCTACAACCCACTGCTCATGGTTCGGTGTCAGGTGTGCTAACTTCTCTGATAAAGTAACAGCTTTGTCGCTGGCTCAAAATGGATTTTCCGGAGAGATCCCCGCAGATATTGGAGACCTAAAGTTCTTGGAGGTTCTCGAACTCCAAGGTAACAACTTTTCCGGCCAGATTCCTGCCGAGATAAGCTATCTTCCTTCTCTTAGTTTGCTCAACTTGTCTTTCAACTCATTTTCCGGTTATATACCAGATAGACTCATCGGTAACGGTAGCTTGAAAGTTATCGATTTGTCGAATAATATGTTCTCTGGTAGGATTAGTCTTGATAACTCGAGCAGATGTGAGTTTTTGACTCACTTGAAGCTGTCTAATAACTATCTAGTTGAGAATATTCCCCCTGAGATTAGAAATTGCAAGAATTTGAGGACGTTGTTGGTTGATGGCAACATCTTAGAAGGCAAGATTCCGGTTGAAATAGGCCAAATGACAGAGCTTCGGGTTTTAGATGTTTCCAGGAACAGTCTCACGGATGTAATTCCAAAGGAGATAGCAAGCTGTAAAAAACTCTCAGCTGTTGTGTTAACCAATTTGGAAAATTTTGGTTCTGAAGAGAAAACAAGCTCCATGGATAGTTTTCGAGGAGAATTCAATGCATTTGACGGGGGTGTTCCTTTGGAACTACTCTTCCTCTCCAGTTTGCAGGTTTTGTGGGCGCCAAGAGCGAATCTTGGTGGGCGGTTGCCTGCTAAATGGAGTGAGTTTTGCTCGCTTAGAGTGCTGAATCTTGGGCAGAATTATTTTGGCGGTGTGGTACCTGAAAATATTGGGATGTGTAAGAATCTTACTTTCTTGGATTTGAGTTCCAATAACTTGTTGGGATACCTCCCCTGGCAGCTACATGTTCCTTGTATGACGTACTTCAACATTAGTAGAAACAATATTTCAGGGAATATTCCAGGATACAGGAAGGGCAGCTGTGCTGGGAACAGGATCTCTTATGGACTAGATTCTAGTTTGATTGAATTGGAAGATACACGGGTTGCATATGCTAATCTTCCTTTTTGGGGTTCTAAGATGTGGTTGCTGATGGATGAGGATTTTGCAATCGTCCATGATCTAAGCTGGAATAGGTTCACTGGTCTAGTACCTATGTTCTCCATTGGAGATCAATTATTGGCAAGGAACAGTAAATTTTCATACAGGTTGTCACTGAATAATAACATGCTTAATGGATCTTCTCATAGAGAGCTAATTCCTGATTGCGGGAAGATGAAGAGTGTCTCGGTTAACTTGAGTGCAAACCAGATAGGAGGTATGGTGCAGGAGGCATTTTTTCTTGATTGTCTGCAGCTAACAGAGTTTGAAGCAGCATATAATCAGATTGAGGGATCAATAGATTCTCGTATTGGCAACTTGATGATGCTTCAAGTACTTGACTTTAGAGGAAACAGACTCTTTGGATCTCTGCCAGATCAACTGGGGAAGTTGAAGAATCTTAGGTGGATATCTCTTGGAGAGAACGATTTAACTGGAGAAATTCCATCCGAACTCGGGCAATTGGCCTCTCTTAAGTTTCTTGATCTTTCCCACAATTCTCTTACAGGATCTATCCCTGCTAGCCTGACAAATGCTACAAATCTTGAAACCCTTTTACTCAACCACAACCAGCTTTCTGGGGAAATACCCTCTTCTTTCTCCTTGCTTTCTCATCTGACTGTTCTGGACCTCTCCTTCAATGACCTTTCTGGCCCAATACCGAATTTCCAACATCAGACTAATTGCACAGCCTTTAGAGGCAATAGCCATTTGCATCAGTGTTTATCTGCTGCCACACCACCAGTAAAGCCTGGAGCTCCAGGTAAATTTCAAAAAGAGAGAAAATTCAAATCTTTCATAATTGCAACAATCACTTCTGCTTCTGTTCTGCTTTGTATGGTCCCAATGATCGTAGTTGTCTGTCAATTTAGAAGGAGAAAGTTTAGAAGACTCGGTCCCGTGAAAGGAAAAGTGGTTGTGACGTTTGCAGATGCTCCGAATGAGCTGACTTATGATAATGTAGCTAGCGCTACTGGTAATTTTAGCATCCGAAATCTTATTGGTACAGGTGGATTTGGTTCAACTTATAAAGCAGAGTTGGTCCCAGGCTATCATGTAGCTGTAAAGAGGCTTTCTATCGGTCGATTTCAAGGCGTCCAGCAATTTGATGCAGAGATTCGAACACTGGGAAGAGTTCGACATAAGAACCTTGTAACTCTTATTGGGTATTATGTTGGGGAAAATGAGATGTTTTTAGTTTATAACTATCTTTCTGGTGGAAACCTTGAGACTTTCATCCATGACAAGTCTGGCAAAAATGTACAGTGGTCAGTGATCTACAAGATAACTGTGGACATAGCTCAGGCTCTTGCTTACCTCCATTACTCATGTGTTCCCCGGATAGTTCATCGAGACATCAAGCCCAGCAACATTCTGCTTGATGAGAATCTCAATGCCTTCCTGTCAGATTTTGGGCTGGCAAGGCTTTTAGAAGTTTCTGAGACCCATGCCACAACAGACGTTGCTGGCACATTTGGTTATGTAGCACCAGAATATGCAACCACATGCAGGGTCTCTGACAAGGCAGATGTGTACAGTTTTGGTGTTGTACTGTTAGAATTGTTGTCAGGGAAGAAGTCCATTGATCCATCATTTTCTGAGTTTGGGAATGGATTCAATATTGTTGAATGGACCAAGTGGCTGATCAAGGAGAGGCGTCCTTCTGAGCTTTTCTCTGCTGAGCTGTGGGAAAATGGACCTAGGGAGAACCTCTTGGGAATGCTAAGACTTGCATCAGCCTGTACAGCAGAGGCACTTTCCATTCGGCCAAGAATGAAGCAAGTTCTTGAGAAACTGAAGCAGTTAAAATCCTGAAAAAAGCATCTACCACACAATGCTGGCTGAACACACAAAGCAGCTTATGTCCAAAGAATATTCTCCTTCCATATGTTGAAATGAGGTAATGCACAATTATAAATTCTTGTTAATGCCAATCTTATGTCTATTTCCAGTACTTTAGCATGCTAAGGTTGAAGTTTCAAATGATGAAACATTTTTAGGAAACAAAAAGTGGATATTATCTACTTTATTTTGCTACTTTGACATTTTATGATCAACCACATTCTTTGCAGATGTTAGATCTGCTTCTGACTGTATTCTGTGATTAGAATATAACAAGAAATATTATGATTAGTGACATCAAATCTCTTTAAGTAATCTAGAACATTTTCTCTTTTATCATACGAAATGCCAATGCTGTTTTCGCTCGGCCATGTAAAAAGCACGGTGACTCTAATCCTTTTCTGGTTTGGATTCTTGACAGGTGACATTGGAATGGAACCTATACCCACTCTTGCTCGGCATCATACTAACTGATGATCCTTTATCTCACTGGCTGGTTTGGATTCTTGACAGGTGACATTGGAATGGAACACTATAGCCACTCTTGCTCGGCATCATACTAACTGATGATCCTTTATCTCACTGGCTAAGGTTACATAGCATGTCCATTATACCATTGCTTTTCTTTCCTTGTGCAACAAAAATCTTTCATTTTGAGAATCACGTGCTTTCATAAACTAATCTGGTCGTCTCTTTTTGCAGAACTGGTTTGCAGATTGTTGTTGAGATTGATAGCACATGAGAAATATCAAATGGACTTTGCAGCTTCAAACTAATGGCCGGCGGGCTTTTCACTATTCTGAAATTGAAGTGAAACGATAAGTATATAATTCATAAGTGCTTGATTTTCAGTAACAGGAATGTGTGATTTGCAGTAATCTTGAGCTGACAATAATGCATAATTGTCAAATGTAGCAAGGAGTAACGCATTATTTGTTTCACTCTAAAATTCTTTGTAAATATGTTCCATTAGAATCTGATATGATGGCATTTCCGACACAAATGTTTCAAGAACAAGAAATCTTGTATTCTGAATCGTATGAATTGTTCAAAGATGAATTACGTTTATATATATATACTGATTTAGCTTATAATCTATACAATTACTATAATTATGTTAACAACACAAACATGAGAATAAAATATAATTGAGAGACAAAACAAGGTTGACTTGCTGGAAGATACAAGAAGTTTGCAGATCTCAAAAGGTTACATTACGAAAATGTAGAAGATTGTTTAGCAAGGAGTTCATGTACATAGACAGAAGAGAGAAAATGAAATTATTAAAATCTTTTCTCATCTGCATGGAAGTGCAGATCGAGAACTATAATACGTACATCATCTAGACAACTGTTTGTCTTCCCATGTCAAGGATCGCCGCCACCACCTTTAGCCTTGAGGACAACCTCCTCCGTCGTGGTTCCTATGATCTCATTAGCACGCCTGAGATTTACACATGTATATGTTCCGATGTTATCCTGAGTTCAATTACTGAGTTAGTGGCAGGCATTATGCAAGCTCAATGTGTACATGCATGTGCACCAGGTTCGTACAAACCATTAGGGATGCATGCTGATCAGTTTATTGATATAACATCAAGTGTTTTTTAACGGTGTTTGATGTTGAGGCGCATAAATAGACCAAGCAAAGTTCAGGTACCACACTGAATATTTTTTAGTGCAGGTACCACGTTAAACATTTTCCTATACTATAGGAGTCAGACTAGACACTAATCCTTTTTAAGGGCATTAGCGGATCTCTAAGTCTGTAGAGCTTTTGATTTGAAGACCAGGAGTATGAAAAGAATAAGAAGTCTAACCTGGGAAACAATTCCCAACTTCTCTAACTTCCTTATTGCATCATCCACGTCAAAATTACAGTCATCGCCAAATTTTTCTTTAATAAATTGTTCACACAGCAGGTCAAGATCCTCCTTCAGATCATTCCAAAGTTAATAATCAGCAGTACCATATGGAAATCTTCATTTTCTATTGGAATCAGGGAAGCAAAAAGAGTGACAAAAGGAAGAGGCAGATAGGGGTTGAAGTGGATCAATTTTGTACCTTGCTAATGCCTTTTCCTTGCTCCATCAATACAAAGAATGAAACAATCACCTCTTTTACCTGCACATTTCAAAATTATGATTTTCTGTAAGCATTTAGTAGTCTTATTGAAGGGTTTCCCTTGTTTTGTTGACATTCATAAAATATCATCACCATCTGTTGTACAAAGAAATTATGATTTTCAGGTAGTTTCCTGTTATCCTGAGTATTTATCTGCACTCACTCAAAAAGTTCTCTAGCCTGTGAGTATGACTTACTTCCTGTTGTATCACCTCATCACACAAGTGAAGAAGAGTTCCCCTTCCACTATCCAACTGTTTATCATATACACACCGGGTGATTAAGTTTTGATAGTCAACCAAGTTTTGCTGAAACCTGGAGAAAAATATAAGTAAAAATTAGCCTGCATGATTAAATGTATGTATGCAAGCAAAAATGCAGAAAACACACGGGAGCACTAGGATACAGAAGAGGTTAGATCAACCTGTACGCCAAATAAAAGTACAACTAACAATCTGCAAATAGTTTCCCTGTCAGGATGTATAATTTAGAATGATCAAGCACAAAGTCCTGCGGCCTGGTCAGATATACCAGTGAAGTCCATAGCAGCAGTGACCAGGAAGGATAATATTGAAGTTGATAAAACAAATCACGCCGTTACTTAAAGTAGGGAATCATGAGAACTTAATATATTAAAAAAAGGCATCTCCACGTATAGTGGATTGTTTTTAAGTTGGACGTCTGTCCTAAAAATTAGAAGTAGGCATAGAGTTTCTTTAAAAAGAAAAGGCCTAAACAGTAAATAGCTACATTTTGTCAGCAGAAATTAAGGCAGATCCCCTCAAAAACTATGCATTTCAACAAACTATGTTGTTCCTCCTTTTCATTGCTAGAGAGATTTATTGCTTGAAGAAGAAGAAGAAAGACACTTAACGAGAAATATGTTTTAACACAGTAACCAACCACAGCGCTGAGGATACCAAAAATGACCCGGATGTCAGGCTTTGGCATGCTGAGTGAACTAATTACAGTGACCTGTAAAAAGGAAAGCAAGATGTATTACAAAGGAGGAAAAGGAAATTTTTGACTGACTTCCATAACTGGGGAATTAGATGTAGTAACTGACCAATCCGATTGCGGCAGATACAAGGAACTTGACCCAGTCCATGGGAGTTAAACCTGGATTTTTCTTTTCTGGCTGTGAAAGATAAACTTCCAGCATCAGATTAACAACAGAGACACATTTTAGTTAGTTAAAGGATACCTTTAACACATGACAATTGATACACGCACAAGCCTGCTAAGAGAGACAATAGCTAGGAACTTACAAGTACTATCTCCAAATCAGCCATTGGAATGTTCTTGAAATGCTTCACATATATATTCCTCTCCGTTTCATGTTTTCTTGGCATTCGCCTGCAGATTTAGTTTCCATTAAGACATCAAAGTATTGTCTTTTAAACACAGAGGTACCTTCTGAGGAAACAAGAACCAATTTCAAGACTCGGCATCCTATTGTCAACACAAGTTACAATTGTCCTGAAACAATATTGGTCTGTTATAAACTTTACAATGTATTAACAAGGAAGATGGAAAAGGCAATACCTGTAAACAACAATTATTCTCTCAAAAGTAGGCTCTTGGATTGTGATCTTTCTCAGAAAATTAGAAATGCTGGGTAGACACAGAAGGCAATGTCAAATATTATAAGAAATCAATCATCAGCAATTTCAGACATTCAAAGAAACAATCATAAAGCTTATGCATTCATCCAACTTACTGTAAAAGGGAATGGAAAAATTAAGCATCAAGACAAGAACTAGAATAACAAAGATTATCTGGTTTCAACATAAGACCTGAATTTCAACTTCTCGATACGGATTCGTTCAATGTATAACTCATCTTGCTCTCCCTCGATTTTCAGTTCTGTTGGCTCAGCTGAGTCTTTCTTATACGGTTTAACTTTCTTTCCAAAGAATAATCTTGTTAAGAATTTCAACCTACAAGGACAAAGCCCCAGAAGAAAAACTGTATTCAATCCCCCCAACATAATCTGATTATGTGATGAGAGCAATCAAAAGAGTTCTAAGCGTGGACTTACCCTGTCACCTTCATGAAACATCTCCAAAAACGCACAATGATTGTGTTTACTTTTGCTTTGAAAAAGTATGCGGTCATGTGGTCAATTCCAAAGCCTCGTCGGAAGATTATGAACTAGCAATAAAATTTTGAGTTCGGATCAAATGAGAGAGGCAAAGCAGACAGGTATAACAGAAATACAGGTAAAACAGCTCTGAAATAGCAGATAACTGATCCATATATATCCTTGACGTGAAACAAAAGGCAGCCAGATTACACCAATTATTTGGGGCTAGCACAATAGATCAGATGGTTCACATTTAACTGATCCACTTTTTACTGACAAAACTAGAAATAGATGAGAGTCTGTGTCACTGCTACTTAGTTGAGCCTTATTTTTCTCTTGCGTAGATCATAAGAACTGTAAGGCATTGTTTTCATTTAATAAGTTTTGACAGAGAAGATAAAGACTTACATGACACACTTGGACAAGGAATTAAACCTATCACATGTTAAAGTGCAGAAGTTTTATACCCAGAAAAGGAGGAACTCATGCGTGCACATCAATTATTATCTAATGTGTTGTTGGACTTGGACCTGTTAGCTATTTAGCATTTAACATGATGCATTTGGATCTAGGAACAAGTTAACTTTCCATCCAACCCCAAGCCCTTCCTTGATATACTTTACACCCAAATTTGTTGGCACCTATCAGCTGCTAATTTCCACATGGTAAGCCACATCCAAAAGGAATGTCCTTCACCAGGCAATCTTTCAAGCTTGATTTAAGGAATTACCTTATCAGCAAAGTATGGAAGGTCCTTGTGAGGATTCTTCTCAAAATACCTCGTAAAAAGCCTTTTGTCCAGCTACATTCCACCAAAATTGTAATTAGCAAAGGTGAAATAATAATTGAATAAAAAAACTTAGTAAAAAATGTACTTATGTACGTAAATATTGTTGGAAATTGTTACTCAAACCCCAAAAGATTTGGGTTGAATTTACTGATTCGTCGGAAGATATTGGTTGGTAATCCAGTTTACTTTAGATAAGATTGCTTGATGGACAAGAAGACTTGTTAGGCAACAAATTTTTAGAGGAAAGGGATTCTTTATAGGCAAGTTAGTGGAGTTATAATAAGAGTAGAGTCTCAATAGGGTGAGGTATGAGAGAAAATTGTAAGTAGAGTTGGTTAGGGTTTGTTAAGACCGAACAAATGGGTACGAGAGAATGAGTTTGCGAGGGTTGGTGTTTGGTGGGATCAAGCGAGAGTGATCATATATGCTTAATTTCGGATTGTTTTGAGTGGTTGAATGTTAATGTTGATATGATTGTACTTCTCTATGACTAATGAATCCTTTATCTCATTCGTGGATGTAGACAAGTTGAGTACCCATACTTTCACTTCCACTTGATTAGATAGATGTTTGCTTGATTGGGGTGTTTGTCAAATTCATGTGTATATAAACGTATGCTTATGCTTCTATATAGAAATGCCTAAGGGTAAACATATGACCTCTTACAAACCTTTGATTCATTAACTACAATAGGAAGATTTAAACGGTATTCTGCAGAAAGAGCAACATCAATCTCCTCATCAGTCGTTATCTTGAAATTGCTCTTATCCATCATCTGTTTAAGAAAACAGATTACTGAAAAGTTAAAATTCAGGGGAAAGTTTTTTGTCTTTGATATGCAAAGATTCATGAAGGTACAAAGTTTATACATATATCAGGAACAAGTTAAGCCTAATTTGCTCTGCAGCTAGTAACAAGAAGTCCAGGCATGAACAAAATTAAGACCCTGTCTAGCAAGCAACATACCTCGAACAAGTATGACAGGAAGTTCTGTTCAAGATCATCAATCTCTTCTGGAGATAAGTTTTGTTGCTCCAATTTCTGTGCCCCATGGACAGGCTCAAAAAGGGCAAACAATTGCTGCAATACACACTACATATACATCAATGTCTGCGTAAAGAATGCATGGGGAAAGGAAAAAAAAAAACCCAGTTTCTGGATGGGAAGGAGAGGAATATTGTACCATTAGTTCATCAAACTGTAAATGATACCAAGCTCGAATCGTGTATTCAACCCTTTGGCAGAGCTTCAAGAACTCAGCACGTTCAGATTTACCTTCTGCATGCAGAAAACGTGAAATTTACATGCAAAGAAGAGGAAGAAAATAGCAATTAAGAAAGCAAAGCGAAGGTAGGAATGAATGAATGAGAAATACCAATATGGGCGGCCAAAGTGGTGATAAGCTTTTGCTTGACAATGGGAATGACTGATTCTCTTTCCAACTTGATCATATCTTTCTTCTTCTTCTTCCCCATTTTTGTATTTCTTGCGAACTGAAAGAATGTATCATACAATACTGAACACTCACAGCGGATCGATTAGTGCTTCTGATGAATTTTTCTGGTTTTTCTATTTAATTTGTTTGTATCAAGAGATTCAAGGGGTAGAATAGAAAGCAGCAAATTGATTAAACAAACACAGTTTGCGTTGGAGTACTTGGTGTGCATTCAACGACCGGTTTCCCCGGCGGGAAATTCTTCCTTTTTCTATTTTTCACTGGGAGCTCCTAACTGCTATTACTTTTCCGCCTTGGGAATTCTCTCTCTGTTACTAGTATTAACACGACACAAAAACACTTTGTCACGACAACATTACTGATTATCGCATGATAAGATAATACCAGAGTTAATCCGAACTCAATTTCGATATCAACTCAACTTAGCCTTCCGGCAAAAGATTAATGAGCCCGGGTTTTGAGTTATAGCCTTCTACGATTAAGTTTCTTATTTGTACATGTCCATTTTTAGTCCGAAACCCCAATCCACTTGAAACTTTCAAGAAAACAATGCAAGAAAATATGTATTCCAAGCCCCCTAACTCTCCAAAGTTAACTATGATGGAAATTTCCCCATCCGATTCGTTATTGGCTTTTTTTATATGGTTGTATTTGAGATTGAGAAGGTAGGTTTAGTATACATGATGTCCATGTTGCACCAAGAAATGCCAGCCCTGCTTATGGGGGGTGCTTTCACATGCAATTACCTTGGCAATTATCAAGGAATATATGGAAAAAACGAACCCAACCAAGTGAAAATTACATTCAGAATACAAAAAAATTATGAAAAGTTACAAGCACATGGGTTTGGAAAGAGAAACTAAGAAGATGGAAAAGAATGTGTCATGGAATTATTTCTGTTAACACAATACACAAGCGAAAAAACTGGCAGCAAGGAAAGAAAAGACAATGCCTTCCAACTGAAACCTTGGAGCAAAGGTGCATATAGGTGGCATTGTCACCTGCAGATTTACTATTAAGTCATCAGGTTCTAAATAAAAACCAACAGAGATCTGAAGAAAAGTTGCCCCAACTTACCAAGGCAGGAATTAAGCTGAAATAGATCCCTGTCTTGCCTTAAGCACAAGCTCCTCAGTGGTCACACCAATTATCTCATTAGCCCGTTTCAATCCAACACAGTAATATCGTCCGATAGAATCCTGAATTCAAAAAACATTCTCTATTCACAAAGCAGTTTATCCAGAAGAAATCTACACATTAACTTAAAAGCCAACAAATGAAAAGATTGAACCAATGTGAGTATAATCAAAGTTTCTCATGGAAATGTTAAGGACCCTCACCCGAGAAATAATTTTCAACTTCTCTAGCTTTTCAACTGCATCATCCACATCAAAGTTACAGCTCTCCCCAAACTCCTCTTTGATTAGTTCCTCACACCGTAGATCCAAATCCTATGTCAAATTATTCAAAGGTTATGCTATATTAAAAAAGATCCACATAAAAACTTTTTTCACCTAGAAGAATATCTACACAGAACTCCAACAACAAAGCGAGAAATAATGAAAAGATTACACGGAATAAAACAGATTATGCATACCTCCATGGTAGCTTTACCTTGCTCCATTAGTATGAAGAATGAAATGATTACCTCTTTCACCTGAACATTAAGGTGAAACAAATATAAGATATAACTCTAAAAGCATACAAGATTTTATTGTTCAAAATGAAGAAAAAAAGTGGAACAAAGATAAGATAGCTTGTAGTCACTCTCACTCAAAAGTAAGAAAGACTCTACTCTCATCATCATATCCTATATACACATCAAAGCTTGGAAACTATCTAACCTAGTCATCAGTGCAAAAATCTGATTTCATTCAGGTCAGTTCATCTTTCATAAAGTAACCTGATAGATTAAGGCTTAAACAGTAAAGGGTATACATCAACTAAAATCAACTAAAGCTTCTCTTGCTTTCATTATGTAATCACAATAGAAAATTATATACTATATTTTCATTGCTTTTGGCAGAAAAATCTTCTATATTTTTTGACACAGAGAGAGAGAGAGAGAGAGAGAGAGAGAAAGAAGAAGAAGAAGAAAAGATTGCAACTTACCTCCTGTTGAATCACGTCATCACACAAATGAAGTAAAGTGCCCCTTCCACTATCGAGTTGTTTGTCATACATGGACTGTGTTATTAAATTCTGATATGCAGCCATATTTGCTTGAAACCTACATGGTAATATAGGAGAAATAATAATACAAATTGATAGGTCAAACAATTTGAAACACAGAAAGAAACAGAGGCACCTAGTAATCAAGTACATCTGCCTAAACAGCCTGCCAGAGGCACATGGGACTGTAACTTGAAAACAATCAATCATGGCCCTTCGATACTTTACTACCTATAGGACTAAAAGGAAGAAATGTATTAAGAAGATCTATCTCTTGACTGGCTTATGTTTCTGAATCGATCCATCAACACCGAGACCCACAATAATGGGTTTTTCACATGCATTAACATAGGAAAGAGCATATTACATATATAAATCAAAGATTGAAGAAAACATACGTGAAGTATGTCTTAGCACAGTAACCAATCACAGTAGACAAAATGGCAAAAATGACCCACAGATCAGCCTTAGGCATTTCAAGAGAACTAAACACTGCAACCTGTGAAGAAAGACACAGGAATAGTGCATTCCATCAATACAATACCAGGCAGAGAAGAAAAGATGGACGAAAGACATGAACGGATGAGTGAGGAAACATCATTGCTTAACTGACCAGTCCCACAACAGCAGAGGCAAGGAACTTGACCCAGTCCATAGGAGTTAATCCTGGATTTTTCTTTTCAGGCTGTTCAGACAGAACAAAAAGAATATCATACACCAGATCACATGTTGTATAAAAGCTTTGAGCAGAAAGAGCTAAGAGAGACTCACAAGGACTATTTCTAGATCTGCCATTGGAATATTTTTGAAATGTTTTACATATACTCCTCGTTCTTTATTTGAATTGGTGCTTGCCCTCCTGGAAATTCACCATTCTTTTTAGATTTCTATGAATCGCTCTACATGAGTTTTATAAAAACTAATTTAGAAAGACACCAGTTGAAAGAATAGTTTAGCCATTTTTTCAAAAGAAAACAAGATTAGCTATGATTTTTATGAATCTTATCCATAGAAATTTATGTCATGGTGCCCTTTCCTTTTTCTTTTTGAACAGGATCAGTCTCTCTGGATCAAAAGAGAATAAGAAACCGAGCTTCCTTTAATAATACTGTTCCAACAATCAATATGTTCAATCTTGCAATAAAAATGACCAAGAAACTGGTTTTTGAATAAGTGCATATCAATGAGCCAAGAAAGACATCATTGAATATCAACTGGAAACTTGTATGATAACAATACAAATAAACAGTACCTGTAAACAACAATTATCCTATCAAAAGTAGGTTCTTGGATTGTAGTCTTGCTCAGCAAGTTCAGGATGCTGGTTTAATACAGAATAAGAAAGTTATTGACTAGCAACAACACCAGAAATTCAGGACAATGGCATGATGTAAATAAGAAAATCACATCACATACTTAAGAGGAAACAAATACGTACATATTAGTAAACTCAAACTTAAACATCAAGATAACAAAATTAACTGAACGAAATTTGTAAATTTGTAGGACTTATTCAAAATGTAAAAATGATAGCATGGAAAGCATCCTTCAAGCTGCTTAGAAAGCTACTATACTCAGTTATATGTTAGATATGTTGATTAATAGATACAGTCTTACAAAATAACTGCATATGAAGATGGCAATTCACAACCTTAGGTCCATATTTTCAAGACGGATCCGCTCAACAAACAAATCTTGACTGTCTGCTTCAGGGTTGATTTCATCAGCCTTTTTTGGGTCAGTCTTATGCTGTCTTCTTGATCTTCTGGCCAAAAGTCTGTCCAACCTGCAAGGACCATACCCCTCAAAAGCTTTAAAAGGAAGAAAAAACGCATGAAGTAATTAAGTTCATAAGGATGAGACAATAGAAACTAAAAGCATCTCATGTCCAACACTATATTTTACTTGGTAAGTCAACAATTTAGGAGCACTAAGGAGGGAAGGCTGCAGAATGACTGGGCATTACCTCAATATGCCAATCATACTAATCCCAAGATATTTCAAATAGGAGAAAACATGGTTAAATTACATTCCATAGGCTAGCCATAAACAAAATTTCTAATTACTTCTAAGCAACAGTGTGCAAAGGAGCTTTCACCAAAAATATACCATAACAATTCATAAAAAGTAATGGTTGTCCAAAACTTACTAACCGAGTTAGCCTTAAAAGATGTGCCCAAAGACGTGCAATGATCATGTCCACCTTCTCCAGGAAAAAGTAATCAGTTGTCCGATCAATTCCGATCCCACGTCTGAAAATAATGTACTAAAGACAAGAAAATCTATAGATTAGCTTGAGAGAGACAGAGAGAGAGTGTGTTATATTGCTAAATCAAATATGTACAAGCAAGAACAATAAAACTGACATACTTCCGAAATTTCATCACTTGATGATATTGAATCGGCTCTGCGCTTGTAATATATTTAATGAATCTTTATTACATCTTTACAGTAATTTAGGACAGCATGGGCGAAAAAATTTGAGAAAATCATCTGATAATGGTCTCATGCAGAGGAGTATGTCATTAACCAAAGCAAGCCTCTGGTCCATCTAATTGTACAGATACATTGCAGGCACTACATGACAAATACTAAGAGAAAAGACAAACTAGTGCAAACTAGAGGCTTAATAAAGAGAATATCATACAAACAAGATTTGATCAGTCCAGAGTTCAAAATCAAAATCATTTTGGTTTCAGCATTATAATTTTTGATATGCCAAACTCAAGAAAAGAGAACCCTTGCCCTACAAGTAATTGTTAGAAACAACACCAAGAATGCCGCAACTTCTATGCTAAATTGTGATCATTACCTTAACAGCAAAATCCGGAAGGTTTTCTTGGGGATGCTCAGAAAAATATCTCTTCAGAAGTGACTGGTCAATCTACATTCAGTGAAAACAATAAGTCAAGATCAACAAATTTGAATAACACAGAAAAAGACCATACACACTATATATCTAATAAAGACTTAATAATTGGCATGTTAATATGCATAACAAATGAAGTTGTAGATCACCTTAGATTCATCAACTGTTATAGGAAGATTAAGAAGATATTGCCCTGCAAGTGCAACATCAATCTCATCAT